CTTCCTTCTGCTGCAAAATCAGCGTCCCACTGGGCAAGCGTAACTGCACATTTAAGACTGCCCCCTCACACGCTATCATTCAGACTTCTGAACAAAATATTTTTAAGGAAAAATGGGCTGGCACTGGGGCGCAACGGGTAAAGCCACCCCCTGCAGTGCTGGCATCCCATATGAGTGCCTGTTCTAGTCTCAGCTGTTCCACTTCTGATCCAGCTCTCCAATATGGCCTGGTAAAGCAGTAGAATGCTGCCCAAGTCTCTGGGCCCCTGCACCCACATGGGAGATCTGGAGGGAGTTTCTGGCTCCTGGCTTCGGATCAGCTCAGATCGGGCCATTGCGGCCAACTAGGGAGTGAACCAGCAGATGAAGACCTCTTTCTCTCTCTCTCTCCCTCTCTAACTCTTTCAAAATAAATGAATAAATAAACCACTGAAAATAACCTGGGGTTATTCAACCTGATATGTGAATGAAAAATTTTTATTTTGTTAGGGTCCGAAAAAGCCCACCGGACTCCAAGAGACTTTTCTCTCATGCAACCAGCAAAGGGTTAAATTTATTGATCCAACATGTTGGGGCCCTCTGACAAGGACAGAGGAGCAGTGAGGAACTACAGCATAGGGTTTATAAAGGCAAAAACCGCAAAATCAGGAGGAGGGAGAGAATACACGGTTGCTAAGCGGTTGCTAAAATCTTACAATCAGCAATTATGATCTTAAGACATAGACAAATCACATCTTCATTATTAGCCCAGGTAACCCAGGTGCAACCTTTCTACTTTTAAGCTTGAGCAATCATGCTAGGGGGTTTTTGTGCATTGCCAAGGGTGATGTAGTGCACTGCTATTGTCCAACTATTTGAGATCATAGTTTCAGACCAGAGTCTCACGGTGCGGGGGTGCAGTCCCAGAATGGAGTCTCAAGTGCTCCAAAATGGAGTCCCCACTGTCAAGGTGCTACTTTACTCTGTCTTATTTTTACAGCTGCACCAGGAAGGTTTAAACCTGTAAGCTTAAGCTTAACTTTTGACACCCGCACATATACAATTTTAACTCTTCAATTTAAAAGCAGAGAAGCACTGAAGAATTAAAATTGCAGGCCTAAACATCCTTCCCCAAAGCTTAAATCTCTACTTAGTATATACTAAATTGATCTTCTGTATAAAAAGATAATTGAAAATGAAGCTTAATGAAGAATGGGATAGTTGCAGGTGGGAGGTTGGTTATGGGGGGGGAGCTGCTATAATCTAAAAGTTGTACTTTGGAAATTTATATTTATTAAATAAAAGTTAAAAAAAAGACCCAGGGGGCTTGGCTTAGCAGGTAAAACACTGCCTGCAGTGCCAGCATCCCATATGAGCCCCGGTTTAACTCCTGGCTGCTTCACTTCCAATCCAGCTCTCTGCTATGGCCTGGGAAAGCAGAAGATGGACAACTCCTTGGGCCCCTGCACCCATGTGGGAGACCTGGAAGAATCTCCTGGCTCCTGGCTTTGGATCAGCCCAGTTCTGGTGATTGCAGCCATCTGGGGAGTGAATCAGCAGATGGAAGACTCTTCTCTCTCTCTCTCTCTCTCTCTCTCTCTCTCTCTGCCTCTCTGTAACTCTGCTTTTCAAATAAATAATAAATATTTTTTTTAAAAAAAAAGAAGAAAATGACTGGTGAAAAAAATGTCTCTTTGTACATTAAGTAGGTGTAATGTAGTTTCCTGATGCTTGACTAATTGAGGTGTTAATTTTGACTTGAAAATCTTTTTCATAAATGATTTTAAAGGAAAATTTGGATTTTAAAAGTATTAAACTATTTTTGCATGATAAAAAATTATAAAATCCCTAATACAGTGAATGACTTTAAGAAATTATGAGATGCTGACACAGTAAAGGCAAACACTCAGCAACATCCATAAACACACAAGTAGTGAAAAGAGGGACATCAACCGTAAACCTTAGTAGGCTAATTATTTATGCTAAGATTCCAGCAGTACCCATTAGATGTTAAGAATCAATGCTAAGCAGGATATGAAATTTGTGAATTTTGTAATTTCCCATGTGTGTATATTAGTTTATCTGCATTCTAATGTTTTAATGTTCATAATTAGTTGTCTAACATTTTAAATTTTTCTCTTTTAGATGAAGAAAGGTCAGATATAAAACAGAAATACAGCAAACTATTTTAAATAAAAAACACTTTTGGGTGGGTCATTTTAATTTTAGAAGACATCTTGTAATTCCTCTTAAATAATAAACAGAATTAGTTTTTTGAAAAAGACAGCAGACTGACATCAGCAAAAAGGCAGAGTATGAAACTCCTCGTATAGAAACACTAGGTTCTCTGAATGGGGCTCTGTAAATTGGATTAAGAAAAGATCTAGAGAAAAAGAAAAAAAAAACAACAGAAGTCTATTAACTTCAGCATCACCCATATAACCCATGGGAGTCCAGAGATGAGTAACTCAAAAGTTAAGTTAGTAGGGCTGGTGCTGTGGCACAGCATGTTAAGCCACAGCCTGCAGCACCAGCAACCCATATGGGTGCCAGTTCAAGTCCCAGCAACTCCACTACCAATCCAGCTCCCTGCAAATGTGCCTGGGAAAGCAGTGGAAGATGGACCAAGTTCCTGGGCCCATGCATCCATATGGGAGACCCAGAAGAAGCTCTTGGCTCTTGGCTTTGGCCTGGCACAGCCCTGGCCATTGCAGCTATTTGGGGAATGAGCTAGCAGATAGAAGATCAATCGATCTCTCTCTCTCTCTCCCTCTCTCTCTCTCTCCTTTCTCTGTAACTCTACATTTCAAATAAATAAATAAATAAATACATCTTTTTTTAAAGGTTTAATTAGCATCTGGACTTATAAACATTTTAAAAGATGTGACAAGACAAAAGAAAAATACCTTGAGTCTTTAGGGGCAGCATTTTGTGGGACTGCAAATATATAGGAAACCAAAGGAAGATCAAGGCCAGCCAATGGAGCAGGCATTTGGCACAGTGGTTAAAATGCTTGCTGGGATACCCACAAGACAAACTGGAGTACTAGGGTTTGAGTCCCGACTTTGCTCCCAATTCCAGCTTTCTGCTAATGGGCATCATGGGAGGCAGATGATGGCTCAAGTAGTTGGGTCCCTGCCAACCATGGGGGAGGTCTAGATTGAGTTCCAGCTTCTGGCTTCTTTGTGGGAGTAAGCCAATATATGGGAATTCTGTCTGCCACTCAAACAAAACATTTTTAAAAAACAAAAAGACCAACTGGTAAAGTTAGGTAGATTCTTCAATTTCTCTGGTGCTGACTCCAGGCTAAGGGTTGAAAGTTGTGTCAGGAGATTAACTTTTGTCTTTCCTGATACCAAGAGGAGACAGAAGGCCAGCGCCATGGCTCAATAGGCTAATCCTCTGCCTTGCGGCGCCAGCACACTGGGTTCTAGTCCTGGTTGGGGCGCCGGATTCTGTCTTGGTTGCCCCTCTTCCAGGCCAGCTCTCTGCTATGGCCTGGGAGGGCAGTGGAGGATGGCCCAAGTGCTTGGGCCCTGCACCCACATGGGAGACCAGGAGAAGCACCTGGCTCCTGCCTTCGGATCAGCGCGGTGCGCCGGCGGTGGCGGCCATTGGAGGGTGAACCAACGGCAAAGGAAGACCTTTCTCTCTGTCTCTCTCTCTCTCTCACTGTCCACTCTGTCTGTCAAAAAAAAAAAAGAGGAAACAGAACACATTTGTACATTTATGTCCTGCCTGAGGAACATAGAGAGGACAGCTTTCCTTTATCTGCTTTTTCCCAATTGCCCACAGCTCAAAATAAGCCTGCTGCCAAGTGGCATATTTTAGTATGGCATATTCTGCTAGCATACAAAGGTCTTTTAGTAGATACACAATTCATACTAAATACTAAATTTTAGTAGATACAACAATTAATACTAATACTAAATGAGACATGAAAATAAAAATGTGAGGGACAATGTGGAGATGCAAGTGGGTTAAGCCACCACCTACCATGGACTCCTTCCACTCCTGGCCCAGCTCTGGCTGTTGCAGAAATTTGAGGAGTGAACCAGTGGATGGAAGATCTCTGTCTCCATCATTCTGCTTTTCAAATAAATTAATAAATCTTTAAAAAGTAATAATAAAAATGCCAAGCTGATTATATTCATCTAAGGGAAATACAAACATCCAAAGAAAAACATTTTTTTAAACATCTAGAGAAAAGAATAAGGACTGCCAAAACTAAACTAAAATAAAGCAAAAGACAATAGTCACAGCTAGGACAGGCACCTGGCCTCGTAGTTAAGATGCCTGTTAAGATGCTTGCATCACATATCAGAGTGCATGTTTCTTGGCTCTGCTCCCGATTCCAGTTTCCCTGCTAACTCATACCCTAGGAGGCAGCAGGTGATGGCTCAAGTAGTTGGATTCCTGGCCCCCAAGTGGGAGATCTGGACCCTGTTCCCAGCTCCCAGCTTTAGCCTGGCCTGCCTGTGGCCATTACAGGCATCCGGGGAGTGCTAGAGAAGATGAGAGCTGTCTCTTAGTAAACAAATTTTTAAAAATTTGTACATATGAGAAACTATAGAGAAAACCACAAGGTAGAATCCAACAGTATACATGTCAGGATTCAAGAAAAACTATATATAAATAAATTTTAAAAGGTCAAATCAGAGACCATTTACTTTTTTTTTTTTTTTTTTTTTTTTTGACAGGCAGAGTGGACAGTGAGAGAGAGAGACAGAGAGAAAGGTCTTCCTTTGCCGTTGGTTCACCCTCCAATGGCCGCCGCGGCCAGCGTGCTGAGGCCGGCGCACCACACTGATCTGAAGGCAGGAGCCAGGTGCTTCTCCTGGTCTCCCATGCGGATGCAGGGCCCAAGGACTTGGGCCATCCTCCACTGCACTCCCGGGCCATAGCAGAGAGCTGGCCTGGAAAAGGGGCAACCGGGACAGAATCCGGCGCCCCAACCAGGACTAGAACCTGGTGTGCTGGCGCCGCTAGGTGGAGGATTAGCCTATTGAGCCGTGGTGCCGGCCAAGAAACCATTTACTTTTATAATTGAAAGCAAAAAGCCGGAACACAAATTACCTTTTCAAAATTTGCTTTAAAATCAAATACTTGGGGCTGTCATTGTGGCACAGTTGGGTTAAGCTGCTGCCTGCAATGCTGGCACCCCATATGAGTGTCGGTTTGAGTCCTGGTTGCTCTACTTCCAATCCGGCTCCCTGCTAATGTGCCTGGGAAAGCAGCAGAGGATGGTCCAAGTACTTAGGCCCCTGCCACTCACAAAAGAAACTCAAAAAGAGTTCTAGACTTCTGGCTTCAGCCTTGTCCAGCCCTGGCCATTGCAGCCTTTTTGGAAATGAATCAACAGATGGAAGATCTCTGTCTTTGCCTCTAAGTCTGCCTTTCATTTTTTTATTTTTTTTAATCCTTATTTTTTCATCTTTTAACTCTGCCTTTCAAATAAATAAATCTTTAAAAATAAAGTATTTCCACATTGTAAGCACAAAAAAAAGCTTCTCAAACACTTTAATGATACAATTAATGGAATTATATACTACTCAAAGCTCCAAAAGGTCAGTCAGTGTAGCATTTCAAACATTTCCAGAAGTGCTTTTCATAGCCATAGCTACATTTGGTTTTGGAGAAACCAATGTGGAAATCAATATATACTGAATGCATTTTAACATGTGCTTATATTAAGGTGTCCAACTTTAGCTTACACCTGGCAGGATGGAGTATATTAATTTGAAGTCAGACATTGAGAAACAAAGCCCCTGCAGTAAAAAGCAAGGGTCATAAAAGCAGAAAAAAAAAGGTCAGATCAGGCTGCGGCCCTTCTCATTTTGTAACAGACATCTGAGAGTTTACCAATAGTACAGTCAAGACATTAAGCTTCATGTTCCAAATGGCCTCTTGCTGAGGTCTGTGATGGGCAAAAATGTAAATTACTTTTATTGTACAGAAAAAAAGGGGGCCATTTTGCTAACTTACCATCTTCCATGTGTGCTCCTGATATTAGGTGAAGTAGCAAGCTCTACCACTCTATCAACCATAAAACTTCCCTCTGTATCAATAAAACTGCTTCACCTGCTACTCCTCCAAAACATTCTGATAGCTGCACATCCACTGCCAGCTGCATGCTGTTAAGACAATTACATCAAATCACCAAATCTTTATCATGATAACCAAACTCCAGATAATTATTATTTAGTATTGCTAAAATAAATGAATGAAAATATTTTTATACTCTCCAGAGTAACAGACAGCTGTTTCTCCATTGCCCCAGATATACTCATATGAATATGCTTGGATTAAGGTGGAGATATGCCTATAAAAGCACAATTATGGACTTTTTAATGGTTTTTACAGCTTCTGTTCTTTTCTTATTATACATTAATTTACTTTCAAACAATTGACTTTCAACTATATTTTAAGAAGTGAATAAAGTAAAAGACTGCACATTTATCCTAATGACCATACTACAAAGTTTCAAGGAAATATTTCCTGTAAGATAATTACATCAATTTATCAAGATGGGGCACTGAAGTAACACAAATGGTAAACTGGTTTTCGCTTGAAACACTCACACAGGAGTCTCCCAATAGTAAACCCACAGAACAACTGTCTTAATCAATGTTTATTAAGCCCACCCTTCAGAGGGGAACATTTTATTTTACCATAATTGTGTTTTTCCAACACCTGGTGCACCACAAATTTCTGTTGTTTTCATTAAGGGTATTCCACCCCCAAGAATATTACCTACTGCTGAACAGAAGGTAATTATGAAGCTCTGGGTATGCTCCTGTTCAAGAAGTACCAATGCTGTACACTTCTTGCCTGACTCAGATGTACCAGCATATCTTGGTTTATTTGTAGGACATTCTCTTCTTATAATTTGCAGAGTTTCTAAGGCTTCCTCTTTAGATATCCCAACTTCTGAAATGAAAATAAGAAAAAAATACTGACTTCAGAAATTTAAAACAGTCTAACACATAATGGGTTTCACTAATCTTGATTTTTAGATAACACTGATGCTATGAGTAGAGTACAAAGAAACCGTAAAAATCTAACATCTTGGACCAGTGTTGAGAAGTAGCTGGTTAATGCCTGTGATGGCATTCCACATGGATGCCAGTTCAAGTCCCAGTTGCTGCACTTCTGATCCAGCTTCCAGCTAATGCAGCTGGGAAAGCAGTGAGAGATGGCCCAGGTGCTTGGGCCCCTGCATCCTTGTGGGAGACCTAGAAGAAGCTCCTGGCTCTTGGCTTTAGCCTGGCCCAGCCTCGGTCATGGTAATCATTCAGGGAGTGAACCAGTGGATGGAAGATTTTTTTTTCTCTCTCTCTCTTTCTTTCTCTAATTCCACCTTTCAAAGAAATAAATCTTGAAAAAAAGTAACATCTTAACTATCTACTATTAACTTTTTACTTCTTCATTTTAATAAAGGCATCTGTTTTATTAGTCATCACATAAATATTTATTACCTCAGAAACAAAATTAAAAGAAGTTATAGCTGAGTATCCACAAAAGCATCTCAGAAGTAGAAACAGGTAGGTATTTGGCACGGCGGTTAAGAGACCTGCGTTCCAGTTCAGAGTGCCTGGTTTCAAGTCTGGGCTCTACTCCCTATTCCAGCTTCTGATTAGTGTGCACCCTTGGAAGTGGTGGTGATGGCTTAAGTACTTGGGTCCTTGCCACCCTCATGGAAGACCTAGACTGAGTTCCTAGTCCTTGTTTCAGCCTGACCCAGGCCCCGCTATTGAGGGTATTTGGGGAGTGAACCAGAAGATGGAAGCCCCCTGTCTCTCTGCCTTTCAAATAAAATGAAAATAAAGGACATAGAAGTAAATTGTACTTTCACTGTCTCTTATGAAGCCACCACTATCTTGCTCTCATAAAATATACATATGCTTTTTCAAACAAGGATGAATGACTTCTTTAACTTCCTAAAACAAAGTATAACTTTAAGAAGTACATGTCAGGGCCAGTGCTGTGGCGTGGCAGATGAAGTTGCCACCTGCAGTGCCGGCATCCCCTACAGACAGATGCCTGTTCAAGTCCCGGCTACTACACTTCTGGTCCAGCTCTCTGCTATAGCCTGGGAAAGCAGTAGAAGATGGCCAGGTCCTTGGTCCCCTGTGCCCTCGTAGGAGACCTGGAAGAAGGTCCTGGCTCCTGGCTTCAGATCAGTGCAGCTCCAGCCATTGTGGCCAGCACCAGTGGATAGAAGACCTCTCTGTCTCTCTCTCCCTCTCTGCCCCTCCTTCTCTCTCCGTGTAACTCTGACTTTCAAATAAATAAATAAATCTTTTAAAAAAAAATACATGTCAGCATTGTGGCAGGCAAAACTGCCTGCAATGCCAGCATCCCACATGGGTGCCAGTTCAAGACCCAGCTGCTCCACTTCTGATCTAGCTCCCTGATAATGGCTTAGGAAAGCCATTTGGGGAGTGAACCAGCAGATGGTACGTGCTCTCTTTCTCTCTCTTTCTGTAACTCTGCCTTTCAAAAAAAAAAAAGTAGTGTGGCTAGCAGTGTAGAAGATATTTAAATTCCCTTCAGAAAAACAGACAGTGTTCAGGTAATCTGGACAAAACTGGGACACATCTCCTGCAGTCAGAGCAGTTCCTTCTATTTTGAAGGTACAAAGCGTATTTCAGTCACTTCCATCTAAGAGTCCCGTCTTGGGGCCAATGCTGTGGCCTAGCAGGTAAAGCTGCCACCTACAGTGCTGGCATCTGCATGGGCGCTGGTTCAAGCCCCAAATGCTCCACTTCCAATCCAGCTCTCTGCTATGGCCTGGGAAAGCAATGAAAGATGGCTCAACTGCTTGGGCCCCTGCAACCACGTAGGAGATGTGGAAGAAGCTCAGCTCTGGCCTTTGTGGCCTACTGGGGAGTGATCCAGTGGATGGAAGACTTCTCTTTCTCTCTCCTTTCTCCCTCTGCCTCTCTGTAACTCTGCCTTTCAAATAAATAAATAAATCTTAAAAAAAAAAGGGCAGGGAGTTGGAGCAGCAGAGCATTAAGGACTTAAACTTGTGTTCTAACAATGCAAGCAGTGGCTCAACCCACTGTGTCACAACACTGTGCCTCCCTGCCTTGTATTATTCAAAAGAACTTTTCATGGAAACATTGATATAAAAATTTCATTTCATGGCAGGGGCTGACATCGTGGCACAGCAGGTTAAGCCTCCACCTACGATGCCAACATCCTATAAGTGCACTGGGTTAATCCAGGCTGCTCCACTTCTGATCTAGCTCCAGCTCCCTGCTAATGAACCTGGGAAAGCAGCGGAAGACAGCCAAAGTGTTCAGGTCCTTACCACCCACTTGAAGACCAGGATGGAATTCCAGGCTCCTGGCTTTGGCAAGGCCCAGCCCCAGCCATTGCAGCCATTTGGAGAGTGAACCAGCAGATAGAAGATCTCTGTCTCTCCCTTTCTCTCTGTAACTCAAAAAAAATTTTTTAAATAAACTCCTAAATCACTCCAAACTTTTAATGAGAACAATTATTCAATGCACAAATTTTTTTTAAAGATTTTATTCATTTTTATTTGAGAGGTAGAGTTACAGACAGTGAGAGGGAGAGACAGAAAGGCCTTCCTTCTGAGGTTCACTCCCTGAATAGCTGCAACGGCTGGAGCTGCACCAATCCAAAGCCAGGAGCCAGGCGCTCCTTCCAGGTCTCCCACATTGGTACAGGGGCCCAAGGACCTGGCCCATCTTCTACTGCATTCCCAGGCCATAGCAGAGAGCTGGATTGGAAGTGGAGCAGCTGGGACCAGAACTGGTGCCCATATGGGATACCAGCGCCGCAGGCAAAGGATTAACCTACTGTGCCACGACGCCGGCCCCAATGCACAAATATTTTTAACATTATATTTATTCTCCTCAACTACACGGTTTCATTTCTATTTGACAATGTGGCCTGAAAACAGAAAAGATGCTACAGAAACAAACAATGGTAAGTCTGGCATCATGTCAGTTTGATAAATCAGTGACTGACTTAAGTATATGAACTATAATTTTGGTAGTAAGAAAAGGTAACAGTGGGGCCAGAGTGGTAACATATCAGGTTAAGCCACCACCTGAGACACCTGCATCCCAAATTGGAGTCCCTGAGTTTGAGTGCAGCTCAGCTTCCAATTCTGCTTCCTGCTTATGCACATCTTGGGAGGTGGCCAGTGATGGCTCACGTACTTGGGCCCCTGCCACCCACATAAGAGATTCAGACTGAATCCAGGTTACTGACTTCAGCCTGGCCCAGTCCTGACTGACGAAAGTGTTTGAGGAGTGAACCAATAGTTGGAATAACTTACTTTTAAAAAAAATTATTTTTCGCCAGCGCTGCAGCTCACTTGGCTAATCCTCTGCCTGTGGTGCTGGTACCCCAGGTTCTAGTCCCGGTTGCTCTTCTTCCAGTCCAGCTCTCTGCTGTGGCCCGGGAAGGCAGTAGAGGATGGCCCAAGTGCTTGGGCCCTGCACCTGCACGGGAGACCAAGAGGAAACACCTGGCTCCTGGCTTCAGTTCGACTCAGCTCGTTGGCCGTAGCAGCCATTTGGGGGGGTGAACCAATGGAAGGAAGACCTTTCTCTCTCTCTCTCTCTCTCTCTCTCACTGTCTGACTCTGCCTGTCAAAAAAATTTTTTTTTTACTTGAAAGAGTTAGAAAGAAATCTGTCTGCTGGTTCACTCCCAAAATGGCCACAACAGCTGGGGCTGTGACAGACCAAAGCCAGGAGCTTCATTTGGTCTCCCATGTGGGTGCAGGGGTCCAAACACTTGGGCCATCTTCCACTGCTTTCCCAGGCACATTAGCAGGGGGCTAAATTGTTAAGTGGAGTAGCCAGGTCTGGAAATGGTGACCATATAGAATGCTGGCATCTCAAGCTGTGGCCTAACCTGCTATGCCACAATGCCAGCCTCCTCTCTTTTTCAAATAAAGTTGATGCCCAAGAAAAAGCACGTTTAAGTCAGATTGTTCACATTGTAAATCCTGACTGCACCACTTACTATGTTAAATTTTTGTACCTCACATTTTTTTCTTTTGTAAAATAAAAATGAAAACAATGCACGTAAAAATCTTGGTAAGGGGCCAGCATTGTGGCACAGTAGGTTAAAGCATCCACCTGCAGCACCAGCATCCCATATGGGCACTGGTTCTAGTCCCAGCTGCTCCTTTTCCAATCTCTCTGCTACAGCCTGGGAAGGCAGCAGAGGATGGCCCAGGTGCTTAGGCCCCTGCACCCACAGGAGAGACCCAAAAGAGGCTCCAGGCTTCAGATCAGCCCAGCTCCGGCCATTGTGGCCATTTGGGGAGTAAATCAGCGGATGGAAGACCTCTCTGTGTCTCCTTCTCTCTGTAACTCTGCCTCTCAAGTAAGTAAACATTAAAAAAAAAAAGGCTTGATAAATACCAATGTCATCCAAAACAATCAATAATTGCTAGTAATTATTACTGGGTCTCTCATTTCTTCTTCGGAAACCCTATTTATTGAAAGAAAAAGAGCCCATCAAACTTTAGGGGACACAGTCTGTGGGATGACTACTTAAATAGTTAAGGTTGGGTCTACAAGTTATTGTTCAGTGGTAAACTGAAACCTTATCTCCCACTGTTAAGGGCATTAGCTTGAAGTCTGTTTCATCTTCTTCCATGGAGATGCGCAGGTCTGGGCATCACATATTGCAATATGCACAGCGAGAGCATTACAGGATGCAGTGGTTCCCTCCAATACATACAACCACGGCGCTCAGAATGTAAGGTTTTAGTCTTTTCAGTGAATTACACAAGGGGTGTCTTCTTTCTACTTCTTTTCTCACTCAGTAGCTCTACCTACACGAATCCTACATGTCTCAAAGAATTCTCATCCTTGGAATTTTGGAGCGGAGAATAAGATTAGCTAGTCTTGGGCCAGCAGGCAGCTCAACAGGCTAATCCTCCGCCTAGCGGCACCAGCACACCAGATTCTAGTCCTGGTCCGGGCGCCGGATTCTGTCCCGGTTGCTCCTCTTCCAGGCCAGCTCTCTGCTGTGGTCCGGGAGTGCAGTGGAGGATGGCCCAAGTGCTTGGGTCCTGCACCCCATGGGAGACCAGGAGGAGCACCTGGCTCCTGCTTTTGGATCAGCGTGGTGCGCCGGTCGTGGCGGCCATTGGAGGGTGAACCAACGGCAAAGGAGACCTTTCTCCCTCTCTCACTGTCCACTCTGCCTGTCAAAAAAAAAAAAAAAAAAAGGATTAGGTAGTCTTTCTAGTTTCCCGTTCTGTCTCCACTAGTTCCTAACCTAGTTATGAAAAGTCATTTAACCTCTTCAAAACAAGAGACCGGCTCTCTCATCTGCATATTGCACAAAATCCTAGTAAAAGCGTTCTTTTGGGCATGAGAGAATCCTCAACTCATCCAGGAGGCGCTAAGACAAAGAAAGCAGCCACAATTCGTGTGACCATTCAGACAACTGTTAAGCGGAGTCAAGAAAGTGTTTCTGGGCCTAAACGTGGCCATGAGGGGCGGCGGGACGTGGCGGCGGAGCCTGGGCTGCATCAGCCTTGCAGGCGGGAGCACGCCGCCGCGGGCGGCTCCGACAGCGGCCAGCGCGTCGCCACCTCAGCAGTTACCTTTGCTGAGCTGCGAAGGCTTCACTTCCAGGAGCTCCTCAGCCGTCTGGAAGCCCGCAGTCACCAGCTTCACGCGCACCGCCGGCGACAGCGGAAAACTCGCTAAACCCCGCTGCATTTCAAAACACGGCCCCTCCGCGCGCGCAGGGTGGGGCTATACTTCGGACCGCAGAAACTCGCGCCCAGAGACGGGCGTGCGTGTGACGTCACACGCAACGCGCGGAGGGGGCGGGTCTGCGGCCTGGCCGCTTGCGGGTCTGGCCTTCTCGGCCGTGGGAAGATGTGCCAACGTTCGCATCCGCGGCATTTCCACTGCGATTCCTCCAAATCTCGTGCGTGGTTTCCTAATCAGACGTATATTATGACGTATAAATGGGTTTAGACCGTAGGGTGGACAGCCAGGCCCAGTGGGCTCTGCACACATTTCCTCGCCTTCGCCCTGGCCTGTCTCATGGAAGGCTGGGTCATTTTATAGAAATGATCTCCCCGAATGGGAGCAGTGGGAAAATGAGGGTACACTGACTGGTAACTGGACGTTTGGAATGGAAAGTCCAGGAAACAGCCATAGAAAGACTAACCAGTGTGCCGTTAGGGTGCAAGTCTCTTGGCTCTCCTCACCAGCCGTCCACACCCCCAGCCTGCCCCAAGACTTCCCGCGCTCGCAAAGGATTGTGGGCCAGCCCCCCACCGCCGCTGGGGGAAACGCTCGGCGTCCGGGCCCGTCACCCACCCGCCGACACCTTCCCGCGAGTCGGGCCTGGCGTTTGGGGGTTTCTGAGACCGTTAGAGCTTCACGGCCTGCCTAGTTCAAGAAGATAGCTGGAAAAGTAAGCACGTAAAGCCCGGGGTTTCTGGGGTTCTGAGAGGGAGGGGCTGGCCTGTGCTGGAACGCTCCTGTTCTGTGAGAGTTGGGAAGGGGTGTTCAAGCTGTGGAAATGGCCACTTGGAAAACACAGAACTCCAGGGAAAATGGAAGGAAATTTGAAAAATGCCTTGTAAGGGTCTCTCCTTGTCCAGGAAGCACGGCTGGCTTTTTTAGTGGAGTAACCTGTACCCTACTTGTTGCCTGGATTCCTCACTCTGACTTGCTGTCGGCTTAAAGGACCTCCTGAAATATTATAAATCAGAGCCCTTCAAGTTCTCAGGAGCTAAAGAAGGAACCAGCTTATGCGGAGCACATGAACAAATCCCATGCATGTAAATGCTCATAGGCATTCCGCCGGAGCAGAGCTCGGGCCTCAAGGCCCAGAACAGTTTTTCTCAAAGCCAAAATTCAAACCTAGTATCGTTTTTTATTACCCTGAGCTGCCTCCAGACGTTGAGCCCCTCCTAAGGGGCGCGGCGGGGCAGAGGCTGGGGGACTGACGGCAGGAGAGCCTGCTCAGTTTGTACCCAGTGTAGGAGACCCCAGAAAGGCTGCCAGACTGCTCCAAACGTGGCTTGGCGCTCAGAACATTGCTGTACTTCTAATATGATCTATGCCTGGGCACTCGCTGGGCATTACTTAAGTGTTGTCCTCCAGGAAATTCATGCTTATGCTTACAACGCAACCTGGTTCCTGGGTGAAAAAAGATGGTGTTACCACATTCAGCGATAGCTCTTCTGTTAGCTTGGTCATGCTCAGTGGAATTGGTCATATTTAGAATTTTATTTCATCAGCAGTGGAGACTTAAGAAACTTGTGGATTCTGCCATCAGCTACACAGTTAGGTGCTAATAACATTCTCTGGTCCTTGAGTTGCCTGTACCGACTACCATGTCCAAGATAATTCTTAAAGTTTCTTTGATGCAGTTTGCTCAGCTTTCAAACTGACATCCAGGTTTATGAAGCTAGGCACCTGAAACTAACCAAAACTAGGGGATAAATATGGAATGTGCACCTTCCTCTATTGTCAGTTTTCTCCAAATTTCTTTAGAGAGGGAAGGGTTGAATTATTTAACTGGTGAGTCATTTAAAACGTTGTCTGTTAAGTAAGCATTAAGGTACTGTGGCGTAAAATGTAAACATTAAAAGTTTTCAGATAGTCATAAGCTGGATAATTTAGCTGCTCAGAAATGTTTTTATTGTCTTTTTTTTTAAGATTTATTTTGGCTGGTGCTGCAGGTCAATAGGCTAATCCTCCACCTGCAGCGCCAGCGCGCTGGGTTCTAGTTCCAGTCGGGGCACCAGATTCTGTCCCGGTTGCTCCTCTTCCTGTCCAGCTCTCTGCTGTGGTCCGGGAGTGCAGTGGAGGATGGCCTAAGTCCTTGGGCCCTGTACCCACATGGGAGATCAGGAGAAGCACCTGGCTCCTGGCTCTGGATCAGCGCAGTGCGCCGGCCACAGCGCACCAGCCACAGCGGCCACTGTGGGGTGGACCAATGGCAAAGGAAGACTTTTCTCTCTGTCTCTCTCTCTCACTGTCCACTGTGCCTGTCAAAAAAAAAGATTTATTTTATTTATTTGAAAGACAGAGTTACAGAGAAAGGTAGAGACAGAGAGAGAGGTCTTCCATCTGCTGGTTCACCACCCAATTGGCTGCAATGGCCGTAGCTGCGTCAATGCAAAGCCAGGAGTCAGGAGCTTCCTCTGGGTCTCCCACGTGGGTGTAGGGACTCAAGGACTTGAACCATTTTTCTACTGCTTTCCCAGGCCATAGCAGAGAGCTGGATCGGAAGAGGAGCAGCCAGGACTAGAATCGGCACCCATATGGGATACCGGGCTTCAGGCCAGGGTGTTAACCTTTGTGCCACAGTGCCGGCCCCTGTCTTTTGCAATTTGAGGTTAGGGTCAGCCCTGTGACACAGCTTCATTTTTGATCCAGCTTCCTGATAATGCACCTGGGAAAGAGGTAGATGATGGTCCAAGTACATGGGCCACTGCCACCCAATTGGGAGACCTTGAGGGAGTTCCAGGCTCCTGGCTTCAGTTGAGCTCAGCCCTGGCTGCTTAAAATTATTTTGAGTTGCCTGGCACTGTGGCATGGAGGGTGAGGCTGCCACCTGCAGTACCTGCATCCTTTTTGTGTGCCTGTTCAAGTCCCGGTTGCTCCACTTCCAATTCAGCTCTCTGCTATGGCCTGGGAAAATAGTAGAAGATGGCCCAAGTCCGTGGGCCCCTGTACCCACTTGGGAGACCCGGAAGAAGCTCCTGGCTTCAGATGGGCTCAGCTCTGACCATTGCGGCCATTTTGGAGAGTGAACCAGCAGATGGAAGATGTTTCTCTTTGTCTCTCTGCCTCTGCTTCTCTGTCACTCTGCCTTTCGAGTAAATAAATAAATCATTTAAAAAAATTTATTTTGAAAAACAGAGTGACAGAGAGGGAGAGAAAGAGAGATATCTTCCATATGCTGGTTCTCTCTCCAGATGGCCACAATGGCCAGCACTGGGCCAGGCTGAAGCCAGGAGCTTCATCCGGTCTCCCATGTGGGTGACTGACAGAAGCCCAAACACTTGGGCCATCTTCCACTCCTTTTCTCAGGCCATTAGCAGGGACTTGGATCGGAAATGGAACAGCTGAGACATGAACACGGGTGTCCATATGTGATGCTGGTGTCACAGACAATGGGTTTTACCTCCTATGCCACAACACCAGATGTGATAAATAAAAATATCTAAAAATAATTCAAAAAATAAACAGGCCGGTGCTGCAGCTCACTAGTCTAATTCTCTGCCTGTGGCGCTGGCACCCCGGGTTCTAGTCCTGGTCGGGGCACCGGATTCTGTCCCAGTTGTTCCTCTTCTGGTCCAGCTCTCTGCTGTGGCCCGGGAGTGCAGTGGAGGATGGCCCAAGTGCTTGGGTCCTGCACCCGCATGGGAGACCGGAAGGAAGCACCTGGCTCCTGGCTTCGGATCGGCGCAGCGCGCCGGCCGTAGTGGCCATTTGGGGGGGTGAACCAACGGAAAAAGGAAGACTTTTCTCTCTCTCTTTCTCTCTCTCTCTCTCTCTCTTTCTCTCTTTCTCTCTCACTATCTAACTCTGCCTGTCAAAAAAAAAAAGAAAAAGAAAAAGAAAAAATTAAGATAAACAAACAACTCGATGGGGCCAGCATTGTGGTACAGTGGGTTAAGCTGTCACTTGCAAGGCCAGCATCTCATGTCAGAGTGCCATCCCATATCAGAAGGCCAGACCAGGTCCTAATGAAGAATTAAAATTGCAGGCCTAAACCTCCTTCCCCAAAGTTGAAACCCCATGTGGCGGGGGTTGTATAGTTTTGGTTCCTTATCTTTACTGTTGCACCTGTGTGAGGATGAGGGGCCGAAGCTGTGTAACCCTTGCCTCATCCACCGTTCCCGCCAGATGTCCTTTGAACTCCCTGCACGTGCTAATGAGTTTCCCACGGTGTGGGTTGATTTGCTAATTAGTTTCCCGCAGTGTGAGATGAGTCACTAAATGGAACCATAATGTGTGGAATGTCTCTGAAAACCCTATAAAAACCCTGACCCTTGACTTCTCGGGGCTGCTCTGTTCCTGCATGTTCAGAGAGCCCCAGCATGCTGGATCAACAAACCCCTTGCTGATTGCATGAGAGTGTCTCTTGGAGTCGTTCCTTGGGCTGCGGATGCTTCTCGACCCTAACACTGACTGCTCTGTTCCCCATCCAGCTTCCTGCTAATGCACCAGGGAAAGCAGCAGATGATGACCCAAGGACTTGGGTCCCTGCCACCTATGTGTAAGACCTGGATGGAGTTCCTGTTTCATGGCTTTGGCCTGGCCCAGACCTGGCTGTTTCAGCCATTTGGGGTGGGAACAAGCAAATGGAAGATCTCTCTCTCTCTCTCTCTCTCTCTCTCTCTCTCTCTGTCTTTCAAATAAATAAATCTTTAAAAGAAAAAACAACCTCCACTGCAGGTGTTTGGTCTAGCAGTTAAGATGTTCATTAGGACACTGGTGTTCCAACTGAAGTTAAATGAATTCTAGTCCTGACTCTGCTCCCAATTCCAGTTTCTTGATAATGTACACCCCAGGAGGCAGCAGGTTATGGCTCAAGTGGCATAGTCCTTGCCATCCATGTGGGCGATCTGAACTACTTCCCAGCTCCCAGCTATTGTAGACATTTGGGAAGTGAACCAGCAGTGAGAGCACACACACTCCCTCTGGCTTTATGTGTCTCTGCTTCTCAAGTAAAAAAGTAAAATAATTTTTTAAACATTTATTTTTCATTTAT